ACACACACACACACACACACACACACACACACACACACACACACACACACACACACACACACACATCATTGATTTCCAAATGAAGCGGAGACAAAAACAGGACAGGAAATGGTTGTGTAACGATATGCGTCTGTGTACATGTGAACACCTGGCTCATAACAATATATTATGTATTCTCTGTGGGATAAATAACAACGCTGCAGCTCACAGCTGAGCCGACAAAAGGGCCGACTTGCACCTCGGGACCTTCACTGATCTTTAAGGAAATACATTGATATACATGACGGGGATGTATGGAAAGTGTCAAAAATGACCTAACAAGAAAAGTAAGGTCCTTAAAGATGGCGAGCAAAGATGTTCAGGTTTTTCTCCAAACAAGTTAATGCTGATTAATCATTTTTTGATTGATAGATAATTTTTTTTTTTTTAATATATATATTGAATACTACTGGGTTTAGACTAAGAAAGAGATCTGGCATTAGATAGTTGAATATATAAAAATATATAGTTGAATCGTGATTATCTCATTGCACAAAAGAAGAATGTACTGTTTTATCATTTTTTTTTTGGAGAGCCACTGTGTGACCGACAGTGCAAAAATGGATTGCAAAGACATAGACAAGCCAAAAACAAGTGTGTGGAGAGTTTAACAGCCCACTCACACTGATTGAATGAGGGTGGTGTGGCCGTCATAAATCCTTGTTGGTAAGAGGATTATAATGATGGATGAGAACATGATGGAGACATGGGGGGGAGACAATGCTTCAACACGACATTTAAGCCTTTTGTTTTTTTACTTTTATTATTTCTATCCATGGAGTTGTTCTAGTTGCAATTAAACCACGCAGGATCAGCATGAACTGAAGTTACACAGCGACCACGTGGAGGAGAGAGCGACCAACACTTCCACAGTCGACTTGACTCAAGTACTCTGAATCCGGATGAGCACACAGTCAAAACCGAGGATGGCCGGGCCAGGAAATGAGCGTCAACGGTTTAATCACTGTGTTTCCATGTTAATAGAGAGGGTTTTATTAAAATGTAATAAAAAGAACACAAAGATTGTGCATTTGTCCAGCTATTGTCACGGCTGGACCTCTTCCTGGATGCAAAGGAGTCGCAGCACCTCATGAAATGTCAAAGCTGACGACAGTGACAAGAATCAAGCACGCGGGAATAAACAAAGACGACATCCGGTGTTTTTAAAATGAATTTAAAAAATAAAGTGCCATACCTTGAGCGTTTCGGCAACATATATTTCAAAAATAAAGCCAACGCGGCTGAAATAAATGGAATAAAATGCAAATTGGATCCACGTTATCCCCATGTACTCATGTTTGTAAGTTATACACACACAGTTATTCTGTAACAAATTCCACTCTTTTATTTTGAAGGTAAGATGCTCTGGTTAGCTTAACATATTTGACACAATGTATCTGAATGTATCGACGTGAGCGACTTAAATTAAACTAAATACCTGGAAGACAACATGATTCACGCCCGAGTCAACATGGATAATGAACTTAAGACACAAACTACATCCGCAAACAGTATGTCCCATCTCATTAGCATCCTATTAGCATCTCCTACCTTTCACAGTACCTTCACAGTGGCTCTCCTCTTCCCTTCAGTCTCATCTACAAAACAAGAACAATGTAAAATTGTTAAAACAAAACAGAGACGTCACATTGGCGGTATTGTTCTTGTTTTTAACGGTAGCGTTACGGTAGCTCTCGTGCGAATGGATATAACGTTAGAGACGTGCTGTCCAAATCTGTCCTTCGTGCGTCACGTCTAAAACACACCGCTAAAGTAATATACAAACCCAAAATGAAGGATAATTAGCAATAATTAACTTTAATAACAGGGTTGTTTACTTGTTTGCTATCCTGTTTTGAACTCGAGCCGAGCTCGTGCCTTGCCTCTAAGGCTAACTTCAGCAACCGAGGAGGAAACAATGAACTAAACCGACTCCTACCGCCCGAAACGAGCCTCACAAATACAATCTACGGGTCCTGATACACACCCAAAGGTCAGGGGAAGTTACCCCGAGATGGCTTTCTGTTAGGTTTAGCGTCGTTCACCTACTTTGTGACGGATCCTGAGGCCTTTAGCAGCAGCGGCAGCTCCTCACTGCATTCCCGATGTGTGACGTAACTGCTGTTGCTCTGTGTGTGTGTGTGTGTGTGTGTGTGGAGAGAGAGGTGGGGGGTCTGTCACATGAATTTATGAAAAATAAAAGTACAAGCAAAACTCGACCATAATATAAATACTAGCCTGTTAAGTTTTTATTATAAAATACCCATAACCATAAATTACATGCAATTTCTAGACAGTTATTTTTGGCTGAAGAAATAGCCAATTTCCATGTTTGAGAAACAGCAACCTCAGACTTTAAAGTAAAAATAAAAAATATTTGCCAAATAATAAAATGAGACGAAAGAAAGCTAAATACAGCTGAAATAAAATTGTATTTCTTCAACACAGGATATAAAAACTAAAAAAGCCAAGACATAAAAGAAAATGTCTTCTCTCCACCCGGTTGTTTACCACCCTGAATATGAAGGTCAAAGGAGCTCGCTTTATTATTTTGTGGTTCATGAGATTTGGGTCAACTGTCCCTCCCCCCCCCCCCCCCTCTTCTTCTTCTTCTTCTTCTTCTTCTTCTTCTTCTTCTTCTTCTTCTTCTTCCTCCTCCTACTCCACCCAGCACCATGATGGAGGCCCACTGCGTTCCCTAAGGCCCTTCTTCAAAGGAAGGGTTTCATAACTATATTATTTATTTATTTGTTCCACGTCCATCTCTGCCAATACCGTGGACAAACACCCGAGGCTGCTCCCTGGGATATCCCCGCTTCCTCCTCCTGCTCCTCCTTCCAGCAGCCTGTGCCTGTTTGCCCTTATATGTCCACAGTGCTCCGCGATCACAGGAAGAGGCCGTTGAAGCAGATCTATTATTGTTGTAGGGAGCCACCAACATCTTTGGCACCGACTGGGGGATTACAAGTCAAAGCATAGCCTCAGCCGGTACACTATCAGAAAAAACAATACGGTTCTGTCCAAGCAACCAGGAAACCACAAAAGACGGGGAATCCCCGCCTTTGTTCTGTTTGACGAGGAGTGACAGCAGTTAAATAGACGTTGACATGTTCAATTTCCTCTTGAAATCTCACAGAAGTGTATTTCTTTTGCAGAAAGTTACTCAACTTTTGATGGTGAACAGATCTGCGTTTGATGAAGAACAGGGTTGCTGATGGGCACAGGAAGTCTCTGTGAGCATTGCCAAGCCTTGCCAACGGGATGGACTCAATGGCTTCCGCCTATTGGTGAACCTGTTTAGTAATGTTCTCACTTTTCCTCAACCCCCCCCCACACACACACCTCATCCGTTCCTCTCACAATGCCTGGAAGTAGCCGAGACCTACATCTCCCTCTCTGTTTTCATAATCGTTGTTTTATTTTTTTTTGTTGCTTTTGCCAAGCACACAACTGATCGCACCTCCATGCAAACAAATACAAGCACAAGGACACGCGCACAAGCTGTAGACCCTCCGCTAACTTTACTTGTATCCAAATAAATATATATTTTCACAAGTCGCACCCAATGCCCAAACTAGTGTCGGTAAGTTGTGTCTCCTTGCTCTAAAATAACATTTTCCCCACTAACTACACACAGTTTACACTTGTTACACATCGTGGAAAGGAACGGGACAAGTTGCAGCTCAAAAGTCATTACAGAATTTAATATTTGTCTTTGGTGGTGTAGCTGAATTCTCAATCTTATCCGTGAAATTTAATTTCTCTCTTCATCAATTAAAGGTCCACTTGCTTCATCCTGCAATCCTGGCTTTTTTAAGCAGGCCGTGCTTATCTTGAACTCAGTCAACCTCTCCTCGTCCTTCCACGTCTCCTTCTGTAAAATACTTTGATGTGAAGGAAACACAGTTCACAGTTCACTTTTGCGGCGCCTCGATTAACTGTCTTGCTGCTAGGATGAGGTGACTTTTCACTTGTTTTTTAGTTATTCATGACCTCTGAGCCCTTGACCCCTCCCTGCATTACCCCCCCCCCCCCTCTCAATTCCTCCTCCCTTGTCTCCTGCTCGCTTTATTATTGACGGATGTCCTGCGCAGGCGTTTTCATCCATGTCTCTGAGCAGCTTTGCAGGATGCATTCAGAAGTGTGTGTGTGTGTGTGCGTGCATGTGCATGTGCATGTGTGTGTGTGTAGGGCAGTTCCTGCACATCTGTCGGCTGCATTTCTCCCAGTCGGGGCGGAGTAAAGGTTGTTTTTCAGCACCAGGAGAAGGTGTCCCCCATCTAGAACGATCAATTTGGCCTCGCTTCCTTCCTCTCTGGTCCTCGTAACACGACGCCTCTGCTCTCAGGCAGCAAGCCAGAAGCTTCCGGACACTGTTGTGGAGCACCTTACTAATGTCCCATTCATCTGATTCTGGTCCACTCAGCAATGACACCGATTTTTCTTTACTTCCCATGTTTAAAAACTTTCTTCTTGAGGACTCTTGTCACAAAATATGAGTGAAAATTGTATGAATAATACAAAAGAAAAGTCCCTCGATAAGATAGAATCTCCATGATGAGGGCACAGCTTGTATATCCAACAATACGTTGGTCTTCCAGCTTCCTCTCAGACAGCTTCCTCTGTCCTGGAGAGGGGTGATGGGGAGGAAAGCGTTGGTGGGGGAAAACTGATGGCTTACCCCTGGATAGCCAGGCACGTACCGCCTCCCCCCAAGGGTGCTCATATTTGCTTTTTCAACGTGGCACAAAAACACACTACGCTTTCCTGCCATTACTGTGCTCAGAGCTATGGGGGTTTACAAAAACTAATAAGGCCACTAAAAATACTTGGAGCCGGGGGCCTGGGCCTGGGCTCTTCCTGCGCTGCTTCCAGTGGACGCGTGGGCCATTGAGGAAAGAGGAAACAAGCAGCCCTGGTTGTATGGGGGCTTCCTGCACGACATTATAAAGAGGTGCCTTCCTTCGGCCTCCCCCTAACAGTGCTGCTCAGAGCCAGTGGAGACGGAGGGTGAGTCCCTGCTCCACGTCTTTGACTGTAGACTCAACACCGAGCCGGGGGTTTGACGTCAGCGCGGTGCACGTTAGCTCTCGTCCCTGCTGGTCGGGGTGAGTTGGAAAATAATTTCTCAGTATATTTATATTGTTAATGGGCTTGCTTTAACTGCTGTTTTTTTTTTTTTGTTAGTGCTTTTGTCCTTTCTTGTTTAATCCTTAAAAGTTCACATTTAGGCCTGTCAGATGAGGAAGTCTTTTGATTTTAATTGTTTTTAGTAACTGTACTTGGTTGGTTGAATTTGAGATTTTTCACAACATTTTAATGTTCTCATGACTTCTTTGTAATATCTACTTCGCTGCATTTTGCAAGCATTTTGATGTCTGCAGAAATGTGAATAGTAAAGCTTAAGTATTCATATTAAAGAGTGGATGTTTCTTTCTTTTTTCCTCATGTAGGTACGAGTAGGGAGCTGGTCTCACCTAACAGATGTGTCTGGGACACTCCAGTCTATTTATTTTATCAATTACAAATAGGTAGGTCATTATTGTGCACTCTAATTAAAATAAAAATCTTTCAAAATCTTTCAAATATTCAAAAATTGATATGATGTGCATTGGTTGGTTCATCTTCTCTACAGACACAGATGAGCATAATGGAAGGATTCCGGGTCGACAGAGGGCAGGAGATGAGGTCTTCTGCCCCGGCGGAGGGATACGTGAAGGAGTTCACGCGCCACTCCAGCGACGTGCTGCTGAACCTGAACGAACTCCGGCACCGCAACGTCCTGACTGACACCACCCTGGTCGTCGGCAACGTACATCTACGGGCGCACTGTGCTGTGCTCGTGGCCTGCAGGTTGGTGCAAAGGACAATGCATCTGCACAAAATAGTCCCCCTGCGGGAGTCTGCAGGTTCTCTCTAACTAGTATATTTTTACATATGGTTTCCTTTTATGAACACAATCCTGTGTGTGTTCTTTTCTCTCTTCTTCTGGTTGACTCATAACTGTTGTCTTCCCTTCGCCTCTTCCTGCTTTCCTCTTGGGACACCCATTGTCTTCTTCTTCCTATCCCTTTCACCATGTCTCCCTGACCTAAAACACTGCAGTTGATCCAAATAAAAATGCATATCTTACATTAAATCTTTCTGTCTTTTCCCCTCTCTCCTCTCAGTGGGTTCTTCTACTCGCTGTACTCCCGCCGTGTGCTGCTTCAGGGCAGCGGGGAGCAGCTCATGACCGTGTCCCTCCCCAACGCCTTGGACCCATCCATCGTGTCCCTGCTGCTGGACTTCATGTACACCTCGCGCCTCCCGCTGACACCGAGCACCGTCCCCGGGGTGCTCACCGTGGCGGCCTACCTGCAGATGGACCACGTGGCCGACACCTGCCGGGATTTCATGCAGCTGCACTGGTGAGAGAACATCTGTCGTGAGGCCAGGACAGATTAAATCATGAATCAGGCAAAAAGACAATTTTAACGTGCAATTTTACATGTTTTTTTACTTGAGGGGTTGACAAATTCTTTGTTTTTCAGCAGGGAGAAAATGAGTGCAAGACATCCTCAACTGGAGCTGGACTCCAGGGTGTCTGTAGCCTCTGTAGCCCCCAGAGGAGGGGACCTGCCCAATGCAGGACCCCAGAGATTACTCCCAACAGCAGTGGCAACAAGGTGGGTGGATTATGTGGGTTTTTATCGGGTTTGTGTTTGCAGAATGTCACAAGTGCTGCTGGCTGTGGTTTGTGTGCCTTTGTCTGTTGACAGGTTCAGCTCATTACAGCACTTCCTTGTTGTTTCTCCTGCAGGGTCCCTGCGGATGTCGGGGGCTCTCTCATGCCAGGGGCTTTCCCGACTGGCCAGCCCGGGTCAAAGGAGCTGAAAGAGCCCGAGCTGCCCCTCATTGGCACCCCGACTCCGTCTCCAGACAGCCCCGCCCGCTCCAGCTGCCAACCAAACTCTCCAGCAGAGTCCAACACCTGCAACAAAAACCTTGTGGTGAGTTTAAAGAAGCAGCAAGCCATCAGAGAGTTATGGCCTGTAAGTGGTGGTCTGTGTTACCACTGGGAAGTTGTGTTTTGAATTCAAATTTTACTAATCGACTGGATTTTGTTTATCTCTCCAGAGCGATATCAAAGTCACGCCGGACCCAAAGGCATGCAATTGGAAGAAATACAAGTACATCGTCCTCAACCCTCTCTGTGCAGCCACCACGGTGAAGGAAGAGGAGATGGAGGAGGCACAGAGTCACGAGTCACCCGTCGCCGACAGGATGGGCTCGACACCTAAAGCAACAGAGGCGTGGTCTGGAGAAGTGCCCGGTCAGATTGATAGGTAAAAACTACATAGACCTTCATCAGGTTACTAATTATTTTTTGAATTAAAATTATGGGATGAAAGAGGAAAAATAATGAAGCATTTGTGAAATAATGAACCTTTCTTCGTCAGACAGGGGCAGGCCTCCTGCTACGAGGGTTCTGGCCGAGCCCCTCCCCTCGGGCCACCCCCCTCTGTGGATCCCCCAACAGTGCCTCACACTCACAAGCAGGGAACAGGTAAAAGACAAACGCACACATTTTACACTTTGAACACATTATGCCTTCAATGTGCTCTATTTCAAACACTTTCATGTGTATGTTTCGTCTGCCTCCTCAGTCTCACCCTGCACCATTTACCCAAACCTGCACCCCGCTGATCCAGGAGCCGCCCAACATGCAATCAAGCGTGAGAACTGCTATGTGCCCTACTGTTACTCTGGCAACCTTCAAGGAACCAAGACTGTCTGCTCAGGTGAGGCTTCGTTTTATTTTATTTTATTTTATTTATGTATTTTTTCCATTCTCTTTCTTTCTTTAAAACCAATGCCTTTGCCCCGGCAGGTGACAAGCCGTACCGCTGCAATGTGTGCGGCGCCCAGTTCAACCGACCGGCCAACCTGAAGACTCACTCTCGCATCCACTCCGGAGAGAAGCCGTACCGCTGTGACACCTGTGGCGCGCGATTCGTTCAGGTGAGGGTTCACTTATGTGTGTGTGCGTGAGCGCTTGAGGGGAGAGGAAGTGCATGAAACAGGTTTAAGAGGACAGAGTTTCCTCTTTTTCTCATAAAGAGGTCCTGTAGTTGCCTGTCAGGTGGAATAAACGAGTCATATCGTACCTGACACCAGTTTTATTTGAACACATGGAGTCAATCTGTGGTGTCTGAGGGGCTTAAGCTGATTACATTTACCGATACAAAGCTTCTCACCCTGTTCGTTTGCTTTGGTCTGGTGTTAGGTTGCTCATCTGCGGGCCCACGTTCTGATCCACACGGGGGAGAAACCTTACCCCTGTCACACCTGTGGCACCCGCTTCCGCCACCTGCAGACCCTGAAGAGCCATCTGCGCATCCACACTGGAGAGAAGCCTTACACTGTGAGTCAGACACACTGACTGTTTGACCAATGGCGTATATTTCACAAGACACACACACACACACACAGCATGTACACCGATACACCGCCGCTGTTTAATCTGTTGACCTCTTGCTTTTCAGTGTGAGAAGTGTGACCTGCACTTCCGCCACAAGAGTCAGCTGCGTCTTCACCTGCGGCAAAAACACGGGGCCGTCACCAACACCAAGATCCGCTACAAGGTCCTGACGGAGCCCTACCAGACTATTCTGCAGGCCTGCTGAAGGCCGTCTGACCTTTCACTCCTTCATCAGAATAACATCTGAATCATAACTGCAAGAAAATGTGGAATTTGGTGAATTATTTTAAATTGTGAGCACATGTTTTAGAATGGATTCCATTTGGAGAAAGAGACATTTACATGTTGTTGGATGAGCTAATCGTGACTCAATAAGGTTCTTTAGAAATCCTGGGTGGCCTTTCTGAGATGGAGATGGTGTTAAAAAAAAAGTGTTTTTGAAGGTTTGTGAAGGGATGGAAAGAAGGGAACAAGACATGGAAAGAGAGGACAAATGTGTTGGGATGAGTGGACACTGAATTTTGAAGAAGTACGAGTATGTGAATGGTTTAAAGGAAAGATAAAGCAGGTTTTACGAAGGAAAGGTGGTGAATGTGGGAGCTTTATTAAAGTAAATTAAATTGAAAAATTTGTTTTAAGGCTGGAAATATTCTTCTTAAATATGTATTTAACTTTTTTCTTAACCTTGAGGCCTGGGGCCTGCATGTTCTTTAAAAAAAGTACGCAGTAACATCTGCTTTTATAGTCCGAGCAGGCAAAGGACTAGTCAGTATAGAAGTTAAACGATATATTGTTTTCTGCCATGAAAATTTTGAATTGAGATGACTGTAAACAATTGAATAAGTAATAATAATATGACAGTTTGTATGTGTATGGGTTCATTTGCTGGACAAAGATGGTTTTGTACAATCTAAATTAAATCATTTTATATGAATTGGAGCTTTGGCGTTCAGTGTCTCATTTAATATCCGACCTATGCAATATTGTGTATGATTTATAAACAAATGGTGAAAGATGTATATTGCTAATATGAAGATGCTCCAGACTCCACATATATTTTTCAGCTCTTTTAGCTGTGCCTCTGCCACACTCCCCTCCTTCAGCCTGTCTCGTCCCTGAACTTCCTTCCTGTCATTAACACACGCTTTCTACCAATGAATCACGTCTTCTGTTCGGTCAAATCTGTCCCGCCATTTTTTCTGATTTTTTTTTTATTGTTGTTTTTCTTTGGTTGCTTTTGTGGAAACAATGAAGCCCAGGGCACCTGTTTCCTCCAGGTTCCATAATACCGGGCACTCACACACACTACCAGCCGTCAACACGTGTGAGGACTGTGGAGGGGGGGGGGGGGCTGCAGACTCCTGCTGAACTCTCCCACCCTCTGTCATCCCCGCTTCCTGCTCCCTGAGTTGTGGCTCGCCGGGCTTATTGTCCGCGTGCTCAGCGGACAAACGTTGGAAGTCTGACGGGACTTTCCAACCTTCACCACTCAACTTCACTGAAAAAGAAAATGAACATATGATATAGTTCCCCCCCCCCCCCCCCCCGATGACACCCTGTCAACACACCAGTTCACTAAAGTCACAACGTTTATCAGAGAAGAGGAGTTCTGTGGAACATAATTCAGGAAGTGAATAATATTAAACTTATTTACTGAAACTTAGAAACACCTCTGAATAAAATGCAAATAATTTAATTGACACCTCTCTGACTGAAACTTTGAACGTTATAGACACCGTAAAATGGGACTTTAGAAGTTGTATTGGATTGCATTAGACCAGAGGTAGCAAACACGGTGCACGCGGGCACCCTGTCGCCCGCAGGGACCACGTGAGTCGCCCGCAAGGCATGTTCTAAAAATAGCACTAGTCACCATAGAGCTCCGTCTGAAATTGTAGTTGTTCTTTTTTAATCAAAAAACGCTTGCATTAGTGTAGATTTTAAAATGATAATATTTGTTGTCATAAGAGAGTTGGGTACCCGGAGGCGCACGGCGGACAGCCAGGACGAGGCCGCCGCACTAGGTTTTCAGGTTCCGAATGGCGGGCGCTTCCCGTTGGAGCCAGACGCGCGCCGCGAGCGCACCCCGTCGTCAGGTCCGTAAATCCTCGGAACAGGCCGCGGGGCAACAACTCAGGGGTGGGGGGTAGAGGCGAGGCAACGCAATCCAACCGAAAAGGCCCAGACTAGACGCGGGCGCCCGAAGACGCTCGCGCGGCTCGGAGGGTTGGATCCCCCGCTCGGCTATAGACCAGACTGGTTACTAGTTTCTTCGTGGAGAAAAAGGTACCGTTGGAAAAGCTGGTGTCGGTGATAACAGACGGGGCTCCCGAGATGACGGGCCGGCATGCAGGCTTCATTGCGCAATGCAAAGGTGACCCAGACTTCGCAAAATGTCTACATTACCACTGGATCAGTCACCAGCAGGCGCTATGTGCAAAAGTAACCGGCTTTGATCATGTGATGATACAAACATATCAGAGATGTGATACCTCCGACTTCCAAATGTTGAAACAGATTGACAGAAATAAAAGTTACATGTTTCAATATATATGCGTAGATACCATCATTGTTGTGGAAATCATTATTAATAATTATTGTGAGGAATAATTAACTGACATGTGATCAAACGGTCTCTTCACATATATTATTATTATTAAAAGGTGATCTGTGCAACTTTGTTATTCAGGAAGTTTGTATCAAATAAGTAGGCCTTCGTACTACTCGGTACCCTTGAAGTAGCTCTCAGTTTAAAAAAGGTTGGTGACCCCTGCATTAGACTGTCCGGGTGTAGCTGATTAACTGGCCACTGAGCTACTTCTACACAGTCAATATATCACAAAAAAAATACATCTTGCAAAAAGAAGCACTCTGATCGCTCACTAAGTAAACATGTGTCTCACTGAAACACTTCCATTACAAGGGAAAGTCCTGCTGAAGCAGAAGTACTTAAGTATTATCAGCTAATTATGGATAAAGATAAAGCCAGATGTTGGCTTGATAAACCTAAAACTATATATCTATCTATACAGCTGTCAAGATAAACGTAGTGGAGTTAATAATATATAATATTTACCTCAGGGCCAATAGGAAGAGAGATAACCTGAAGGCAGGTTGCCTCCCTCTAGCGTCACACATGTGGAAACTCATTCATGTGTTATCTTGTTTTTTACCTCACCCACTCTGCCGTGCCTCTTTAATCTCTGACATAAAGCTGCTGTGGTGTTGTTGTATTTAATTAACTATTAAATAATTAAATTAATTATTTACAACAAATCTTTTGTTTAACTATTAATTTGAGGGGGGAAAAAACGTGTATAATGTAATTTTCAGTCTCCCAGTGTGTGCGCTATTTTGCCATCTGCCACACAACTACTAAACTTTATACTAAATTGAAGCGAACTTGTTGATATATTAAAGGACTAGGCTTTCATCCATCAGTATGTTTTTAATAGTTAAGGAGAAATATACAAGGCATAGTAGGCTACAAATACACTGGCTGTACACAAGCTTGACTTATTATCAGGCTTTATGACTAAGATATGCCGACTGTGCGCGCCCCGTGAGGACTGCGCACGCGTCCCTTTAACTCCTCGTTGCTCAGCGGTCAGTGACAGTTGAACTCTCCCCCCGCCGCCTGCGGAGGTGATTCACACCGCTCTCGTGCCATTTACCACCGGTGCACGTGCAGACTGAGGACCATGAGCTGCACCGGACACAGCTGACGGACCGAGAGTGAGTACCGTCGAGCTGAACGGAAGCTTTTATTAGCATGCAAACCATTAAAACACATTTGACTATTAACGTCTTCGGACGTCGTGGAAGTTTCAGGTAGTCACGTGTTCATTTCTCAGGGTAAACGTCAACCTCAGTCGCGCGGCTGCAGCGAAGACCTCGTGAGCCTAACGGTCGAGGAGCATTTTAATACCTCCATACATAAGCATTGTGTGTTGTTAACCAGCGCGCAGGCGCCGTGTGAAGCCTACGTCATTTACGTGAAGACATAAGAAAAAGCGAAAACCAGAACTAATTGTGCTTCTTTGCAAGTCTACATCAGTGCGTGTGTGTTTGAGGGCAGATTCCTGTAATTCCAGCAGCAGTGAAGTGAAAGGCATTAGGAGAGGATCAGATCACCGTGTTATTGTACTTGTTGCTTCGGCTCAACTCACTACAGAAATGAAGCAACAGAAGGGAAACTCCTGCTCAAACGTCAAATAGAAGGCACATTTTTCAGGAAACCTTATCCTCTCGATGTTCTTGTAATAGCAGATCACGGAAAGTCCATGTAGCAGCTGAGAGTCGTGATCAACGTCAGAGGAGGAGCTTCAGTACAGTTGTCTGTGTGTGGATCCTTCTGCGTACGAGTATGTACTTAATTCTATCGTGTTTTTAATCATATTAGCATAATTTTCCTTTGTATCAGTGGTAAAAACCACAGCAACATAACTGGGGAAAGTTTACATATTGCTCCTTTACGCCTCCTTTAATCCTCGGTCACGTCTGCTGACTCCTGTCATAGTGAAAGTTGTTTGTGGGGCTTTTATCTTCTTTCACGATCAACTACTTCTTCATAGCTGATCCGTGAACACTTCGTCACCTCTCACCTATATCTGGTTGTCAAATTAAGGCTGAGTCATTAACCAGCCTACAACACTTATATGGCACAACCAGGGAATCTATTGGCTGGGGGGGGGGGGTGTGTGTTAATCATTACAGCTCCCTCTGCAAAAAAGGTGAGAGCTGTCATTTGCGTTTCCTGAGGCTGATGGTGCTTCGTTTTCCTCTTCTTTTTTTTTTTTTTTTTTACAGGTAGATCTCTCTGAGACATGACTAATGTCCGGCCCAAAGCAGAGGGACAGAGCGATGAAGACGAGGTCCCGGATGGAGGGTGGGGATGGGTGCTGGTCGGCGCCCTGTTCGTCAGCACCAGCCTCGTGTTCGGCCTGATGCGGAGCCTGGGGATCTTCTTCGTGGAGTTCGTCCAGTACTTCGAGGAGAGCGCTCAGGCCATCTCCTGGATCTCGTCCACGGGCCTGGCAGCGCAGCAGTTCTTCAGTGAGCCCCCCCACGTGTTCCACTATGTGCGGCAGACAATTTATAGAAGGATTCTCACATTTTTAAGCCATTTAGAGATGCTTTGTGGTATAGGGGCTGCAACTCATTAACTCTTTAACAACCCCCAGTGGGTCACTCATTACAAACTCGCGCCATACATCCAAACATTGTTGGGGACTCCAAAGTTTCCATTAATGCCAAATATGGGAGGTTAGGAGAAATGTGTAGCAATGGAGGTTGTCTGTAGTTATTTGACTTTAAGCTAAACCGTGTGTGTGTGTGTGTGTGTGTGTGTGTGTGTGTGTGTGTGTGTTTTGCAGGTCCGCTGGCTGCAGCACTATGCAATGCTTACGATGCCCGGGTGGTGGTGATGACGGGGGGCTGTCTTGCTGGACTCGGCCTCATACTTGCCTCCCAGGCCACCTGTCTCGTTCACCTCTACCTCACCATGGGTTTGATTTCCGGTAACGAAGCACAAACATCCAACATAACTGGTTTAGTTGTTGCTCCTCAGGGACAACTGGATTAAAACCCCCTCCTCTGGTCTTCCCTCTCCTCCAGGTCTGGGCTGGGGTCTGGTCTTCACTCCCATGGTGGCCACAGTCATGGCCAACTTCACTCGCCGCCGCGCCCTGGTGCTGGGAGTGGGTTTCTCCAGCATCGGCCTCTCCTCCTTCGCTTTCAACCCGCTCTTCCAGCTGCTGGTGGAGACGTATGCCTGGCGAGGGGCCCTCCTGATTCTGGGGGCCCTCAGCCTCAACATCGTGCCCTGCGGGGCTCTCATCCGCCCACGGCGACGCTCTAAAGCCCCGGCGAAGGTAGGACAAGACGCTACCGTCTTCAAGAAACACACAGATGTTGGATGACACATGTCAAGTGAAGATGAAGCTCAGCATTTCCTTCTTTTCCTCCTCCTCCACCACCCAGGCGGATTCAGAGAGCGGGTCGTCCTGCGCTGCAGTGCTGCGGCGAGTCTCGTCCTACCTGGAGCTGTCGCTGCTCTTGCAGAGGCCGTACGTCACCTACACGCTGGCCGTCACTCTCCTCAACGTCGGCTACTTCGTGCCTTACTTCCACCTGGTGGCCCACAGCCGGCAAGCCGGCTTTTCGGAGTACCAGGCCGCTTTTGTCATGTCAGCCGCCGGCGCCACAGACATTTTGGGCCGCGTGGTGTCAGGCTGGTTCTCGGACCTGGGCCACTATCGGCCCCTTCACTTGCTGAGCGTGTGGACGGTGCTGGCGGGGGTGTTCATCATTTTGCTGCCCGTGAGCTCCTCGGCCGGCTCCTACGCCGCGCTGATGGCGATCAGCCTCTTGTACGGCTTCTGCTCCGGGGCGCTGACCTCGCTGGTCTTCGCGGTGGTGCCGATGATCGTGGGCGTGGACCGCGTGATGGGGGCCCTCGGGCTGCTGCAGCTCATCGAGAGCGGCGCCGGGCTTCTGGGGACACCGCTGTCAGGTACGAGCACATCTCGGAGGGAGCAGACCGGTTCAGTATTGGTTGCACAGTCCATAACTGCTGCATATCTCCCAATGGAGGTCATGTCTCCTTTTTTAATGTTAGTTTAAGGGAGTTAAATCAGTCCGTCAACACACTGAAGCTAAAAATAGTCAATCATTAATTGAGCACCGGTAATCAGATTTAGCCAGTTTTCTTACTCCCTCTTTTGTTTTTTTAAGTTCTGACAAACATTCCCAACTATAAAACACAGCTACAATTATAGCCAACAGAGTGTCTTAAAATGTCAGTACACCCAATTTAAAAAAAGCTGATGATTTGATATTAATAATATAGGTCTGAGATTTGCCCTCATTTGCTCTTTACTCCACGTCTCAAAGGGTTGCTCAAGGACATCACAGGCAACTACATGGCTTCCTTCGTGGTCGCGGGCGGTTTCCTCGTTCTCGGCTCTTTGACCATCACCACTCTGCCTCACTACTTCTCCTGCAAAGAGCCGCCGCCGCCTCAGACGTTCACTTGACGAGAAAGATAAGGGTTTACATCCAGAGTTGGAACAGATGCATAGTTCGCCCTCTGACACCAATCACAGAGGAGTTAATGAAGTATCCAGTAACCCGCAAAAATGTGTAGGTTAAGGGTTCAAGAGCCTTGTTGACACTCTTTAGTCCAGCCAGCACAACGATGGTTAATATGCTGCTCCACATGTGGCTGGATGGCTACGTGTTTGCATTATACCTCAGAGATTCAGAACCAAAGAAGGAGCTCCGACAGCATAAAGGGGCCGGTGAGTTCCTCACCCTGTTACACATCCTAACCTCAGTTTAAAGTTCAGGACAGCACCTTCTGCCTAAAAGGAAAACGCTGGGCATTTAAATACTGCTTTTGCAATGTTGGCTTTACATGCATAGATAGAATGTTGTGACAAGATAGGAAATGTGTTTATTATTACATGCCATTAAGTTTCTGCTTACTTGACTAAAAGTAAATTAAAATGTTGCACTTACATGATTGATCTTCATCCTCATTGGAACAATATTATTTTAATGAGGCAGAGATGACACTATGGACCCTAATGAATTTGTGCCTATAGATTTATGAATTAAAGAAACTGTCTTAATGATGACTTTGACTTTCAATCGGTGGGTTGTGTTGCTTCTTAAAGTGTATTTTCAGATCACACGCACTCATTGCTGGCTCAAGCTTTGTACTTTCTGTAAACCATAAACTGTGTTTGTAAGTCAGAGACTGCTGCGTCACTGTGACCTGCTGGCAAAAATCCAAATGCAAAAGACATGTGACTTCTAAGTAAAAGACCACTCTAACACACCCAGGCTGTAACCTGACACTGTTATGTTTGAAATGAGATATTTTGTACTTGTTCTTGATTAAAAAGCATCTTTACGTTTGGTACTTTCTGTCTTAAACATATCGGGCAGGTCTGCTGTGGTAACTTTTTGCTTATGACAAAATGATGGCGCCCTCTGCTGGAGATGTGTACTCGGGACAGCAAACATACACTGTACACTATTAGAACCAAGAATACTTAAACACATGTATGTTTTGTATTGCAGTTTATTTGATCATGATACAAATCTCAAGTACCTCACACAGTTTAACAAAACAAACATGAACACAGTCTCCAAATGTCCCGAATGTTAAAAAAAAAAAAGTGTACATTAGAATTTGATGGGAAGAGTTCACTTAATCTCTGCAACAATTATGTCCATTTCACAAAAAACACTGCCCTTTTAGCTTACAAAAAAAAAAAAAGAAAAGTCCCAAACAGATCCACCAGATTTTAATTAAGAAACCTTGGCAGAGTGATGATACCCTCTGCTACACATAAAGACGCCTCATGCTGCTCTCATAAAGCTGCCACAGTGTTCCCGCTCAGACGCGACTGTTCTGGTCCGACATGTTCACACAAAAGAATTCACTGTTTGGAGCGTTTCCATCCCCTCTGAAGTCAACACCAGCTGAGCTATGACCCAACATGTGGCACGTAGCCAGGGAAAGTGTGTGTGTGTGTTGGATACTACCACGTTTTCTATATATGTGTTTGAGAGCATGCAAGTGGGAAATGTGGCATTGTACAGCAGGGTGACGAGGAGGCTACAGCCGGTTAAGTTCTGGCGTCTGCGCTGCGGCGTTTGAGCTTCTCTGGGTTGTTTGAAGCCATGTGTGAAAAGTCTCTGAAGATGTCCTGGTAGGTTTCATCACCTGGAAGAAGAAACAAAACACACAAGAAGACATGAGCCTTAAAGCATGACATTTAGTATAGAGTACTAATAGTATCACAAGCTTCAAAGGTTAAGAAATCCATTCTTAAATGAATGCAATCTCTTTAAAGTCTTGGCTCTCTGCTAACGAGGCGCAGCTGTGTTTGAACCATAACATCTCTCGTCAAAAGCTGCGTGACTTTGGAGAGCGGACAGAGTTGTAGCCCTAAAAAGCGAGAGGCATGCAGTTGAACAAATAAAACACACACACACACACACACACATCGGGGCATGCACATGCACTTTACCTCGTAGTTCGCAGTAGGTGTGCACACTGCACAAGCAGTTGAGACCAGCTGGACATCTCAGCGGGCAGAGGGCAAAAAGGCACATGAGTGCACACAACAAAGACACACAGTGATGAAGCACGTCAAATACTGACCAGCAGCTGTTTCAAGCAGACGAAAAAGCATCACGTTTCCATTCCTTCATGAGTGAAACAGCTGACACAAGAACTTTAAAAAAAAAAAATAATTTAAATAAAAGCCTTTGATAGCCACGAAAAGGACAATCATGAAAGAATGGACTTTGCAGCATGAGAAAGGAGCCAAATGACAAAATGCAAACAAAACCCAACTGTTAACCTTAAGCTCAAGAGCCGCAGCACTGAGCTCTGGAAAGTCTGATAAATACAAACACGTGATGTATAACAAGAGGTTCAAACTGTGTCGCTATTCACAGAATAGCGGGATAAAAAAAATAAAAAAAAAAATGTCCTTGAGGACCAAACCCGACATTGAATTTAGCTTACATGACTGGACTGAAAGAAACCGACCAGTACACAAACACAATAAAAAGGATCTGATGAAGCCAGAACACTGTACAAACTATATATATAAAAATATCCCAAATATACAATATAAAATATAGGCCTCATATAAGTCTATTATATATACATATAAACCTCTGTTAGAAACACCCACATGCAGCACTCTGTATTCAGAGATTGTGTGGGTTTCAAAGTGCAGGAGGACGTGCGTTTGTAATTCAAAGTGCACTTTTGTTTCACATGACATTTCCCCGTCTTCACTGAGGTAAATGAATCCGTTCTCAGAGAGTCTCTGCCTTTACACTGCATGTCGTACCCTGTGTTCTGGCTTTCACTTGGTTCACAAGAATTTCATTTGATGCTTTTCTCAATGAAGGCAATGTTCCTTTTTTTAGTTTTATGTCATGATGCGGGTTTCCTTGAATGATAAGGGTGGAAGGCCAGGATCATTTATCTGCAGATGCTGCAGATATAAACGCCACATGATTTATAATGCTTAATAAACATGTTTTTCCTTTTAGCTCACGAGCAAAAACAGGCTCATTCCAGTCTCTTGTCCTGGGGCCGGTTTCTCTCCCCACTAATCATTTTGCCCCCCCAGAGCCCAGCCACTTATGTGGTTCTTTAGAGCCTGCAGGCTCTTCCTGGTGTGGGCCCGCCCTCCTCCTGTCCCGCCTAACAAACCCCCAGACCCCTGCCCCCCCGATTGACCTGATTGGCCAAACGCTCCGTCCATCTCCCGCATCTCCTTGTTCATTTTGGCGATCCGCAGCCTGAGGAGGAAGAGGATCAGTTAAGAGAAGCTGGCTTACATACGTCAACATGCAAGTTCTGTTCTCGTCCCCAAATACTCACAAAGTGACGATGTCAGCGTTGGCGGTGTCCACGGCAATGGTTATGGGGTCTTTCTGGTTCTTGTCTTTGGCGTTGTAGTCTGCTCCTCGCTTCAAGAAGAGACAGACCAACCTGGAGAAGCAAAGAGATAGTGTGTGAGAATGTGTGTGTGCACGGCATGAAAAAAAACTAAATCAAGTTCCAGATTTCAGGACATTTTGTATAACAAGTTTTCTGATATTTCATGTGTAAATATACAAATGAAGTGCTTTTACAATTGACCAGCGAAGACAGATGCATCTCAAAAGTCACCGTAACTTTTTAATTCATCTTTGCGGTTCTTCAGGAAGAGGAAGTGCAACAAGTGGACTTTTAGTTCCTAGTTTTGTTCCTGAATATAAGTACCCATGGCCCCATTTGGTCAAAGAGCCTTGTTCTCTTGTAAACCTTATTCTTGAATGTACTTTCAAAATAAAACTTCCTCTTAAAAGTATGACAAATCATGCTCCAAACCATGTGCTCCAAGCAGAAGTGTGCAATCTGTCCCAGGCCAGATGAGGGACAGACTTTCTGATAAGCAGCACCGCTACAAATAGTGAAATAATGCTCTCCGTGTTATCTGCGTTTTGTTCCTTTCAGTTTAAACGACCAGGTTCTTTTTGCTGTAAAGCTACAATGGGAAACTTTACAGTGCTTTAAAAGCAAACATCGGACACCAATACAAATAAATAATGTCAAGTGCACAAACATAAAAAAAAACATTCCGACATGAAGCCGTAAAAAGTCTTAACTTAATTCGCGTCAGGAGACCCTTTTGTGTTGTAATTCATCACTTCCTTTGTGCAGATTTCCCACAACACAGGAATGTCATTTGGCCGAATCTACTTAGCTTCGTTAATGGCTCTGAGCGCTGTGCCAGAAAGGCTTTAATAGATTTTCTTTCACTTGCATTTCTTCCTCCGTGTCAGTGTCTATTGCTGTTTGCATTTTCATCTTTATTTATTTTATTCTATTGTCACTTACTGGATTGGACATGGTTGTTTGTCTGATAGAGGTATTCATGTTTCTAGAACAAACGGTCTGTAAGTTGTACCGATGACCTGACCAAAACATCACATTGTGTCACCTTTTGCACACCGTTTTTTTGGTCAATGTGGGAAATTAGACTGTTCATATGTGTACCAGCTTGTGTGTGTGTGTGTCCTACCCGGTGTGACCCAGGATGGTGGCGTGGTGAAGCGGTCCTCTCCCAGTGCTGTCTGCCTGGTTGACGTTGGCACCGTTCTGCAGCAGGAACTCGCAGGCTGCCAGCGCATTCTGGTCAGGAAACAGGAACACACGAGGCCGCCATTTGTATATTTTAAACATACACACACCACCTACATGATCTGCTCTGAACCTCTCCCTACTATCACCTCGTCCAAACAGGTAAACATATAAAGTCCCAACTAGTGGGGCCTTAAAGGCTGCAAAGTGATGGACGGAAGAAAAGACAGTTGCCAGATGGTGGCGCTAAAGGAGAGGTTAATATCGTCAACTCAAGTTCTAGCTCTCCTCACCGCTGAGACTGCCTGTATCAGCGGCGTGCTGGACTCCTCGGCCACGTTGACCCAGTTGACGCTGGCTCCGTGGGCCAAAGCGTCGGCCATGACGGGGAAGTTCTGCAGGGCTGCCGAGCGGTACAACAACGCCCCGGGGTGAAGCCCGCTCAGATCCTCCACTTCCTCGTCCACTTCTGAGGAGAGCAAGGGGGGGAATTAACTTCTCTTTTCGTCAAATTGAAGACGCGACACATTTTAAATGTGCTACTCTGACGGTCCATGTTGAACACGTAATGAATATGCATCAGCGGGCAATGTTTATCTCACCTTTGTGTGTATTGTTCTTTTGGACAAGGTCACTGGGGCTCAGCCCTGAGGAAAGAGAGAGAGCCACGATTACTGGTTTATCCTGCTGACTGCAACAGCGCGCACACATAACACAGCTGACTGGGCCCTTAGGATTATTAACTTTTGCTGGATCACCAACTTTGGGGATTGTGTGTGTGTGTTTACCTGTGAGCCGAGGCAGAGTGGCTCGGTTCGGTTTGGGTTTGAGCGGCGGCCGCTGCACGGCCCGGTCCTGCGTGTCCGCTCGGTTCCTCCTGCCGCTGGATCGCCTCTGCAGGGGGTTCCTGCCGGTCTCGGGCAGCTTCTGGATGAACTTCTTCTCAACGTACTTTGATCGGATCCACGACTCCTTGTCACTCCTGGAAGGGACAGAAATGACAGATTAGAGAGAAGGAAAGAACAAGATGGGAGGGAACTCATATTTCTTCAGCAGTCTTCTCTCACACAGCAAAAGCAAACAAAGCAGACATGCAGGCCTGTGTTTGTCAGTATGTTTCTGGTTTTACTCGTTCTCTGTTTGACTCCACATCTTGCTTGTGCAGCTGTGAGACAAGAATGCTTCACACATGTCCTCGTGGGGCTCAGTGTCTTTTAATTAACTCGTAAATTCTGTTAAAAAGAGCTCCATTTAGGGCCTCCTTTCTCTACCATTTAATTACAGCACAAACGCAAGCCGTCTACCGCTTGAAAACAATAACAATCCATGTTTATCAGCTGCGTTGTAAGGAATTTGAGTTGTCAATATGTCACAGAAAAACAAACAAAGTAATACTTCAAAAGCCCAGACAGGAGGATACTGAAAGCTCATGCTGCAGAGAGCATGCAGCCTTACAGCAGGCTTCCGGAGGACACTTTAGTCACAACGTTAATCATGTGCATCAGGTACCTGTGGCACTTCCTGTCTGCTGCGACACAACAGAGAGGAGAACAGGAAGTCAAAAAATAGGTCTCAAGAGAGTCGTAGGCCGCTGAGATATTAATCTGTAAATCTACATAGATCTTTGGAGACGGTTACATTTTTAAAGTTCAGCCACTGAAACCACTGACTTTCTCAATGCACACATATATAAACCTTTTCAGAGATGTGGAGAGTTGATTCACGCACACTTAGTCTTCATCATCAATGTACAAACAGGCAGAAATAAACCTTTATGTAATGACATGAAGATGACAGCAGGAGGAGATGAAGAGTGCTTTCTTTTTTATTTCTGCTGATTTCTGAGTCATGCCGGATCAACAGCTTGATATGTTATCATTAGGAAATAAAGTTCCGTTTAAAGACAGGTTTGTAGTACAGGTGTGTACTGTTGTCGAATTGTGGACCAAATATGACTAATTACCCACTGCCAATATTTCAATAAACCCAGATGTCCGGTATGGAGGTTGCATTTGACCACCAGAAGTTAGCATGCTGATATATTATTATAATTTGGGACACACCCTCATTTGAGGTATTTTGGAGGAAATCCATCTCAAGGAAAACAAAGTCTCCGACTGTGGATTGAAAATAAAAAATAAATAATGTGGAACACTTTGTGCTTTTTCTTTCATTTTTGGCTCCTTGTTTGATTACCAGATAAATCAAGTTTGTGTGTTTTCATTTAAAAGGGACTTTTACTCTCCGGAGTGGGTCGAGCTCCAGAAACACTGGGTCCCATGTTTCCCATATTGCAATTGTTAGACCCCGTTTCCCTTTTAAAACGCCACTTTGTCCGAACTAAAATAGACTTTCTGCTGAAAACATGAAGCCTAAAGACAAAGCCAAGATACCCCTGATGACATCACCTGGGCCATTGCCCTCCAGAGCCAGATAAGACATAGTAGTACCGTCTATGAAGGGTAAACCGAGCCGCATGTGTAAACATTGGTTAGTTTGTACCTGGGACTGGAGGGGTGGGGCTTCTTGATGGTGATCTCGTCAATCCGGGCCTCGTAGATCCTGTTGATTACTGTGTTTCCTAATTCACACATCAACTGAAGAAGGCAAAGACACAGTGTGATGTATTTCAGTGCTATATTTGGAGAGTTTAGTTCAAGTACTATTCCATAATGTATTTCATAATCATCTTACCGAGAGGACTTCTTGTTAACACAGGAAATACAATAATAAGGTTGTGTAGCCGCTTCAGTTAAAAGGTTGTATTACCTTAATGAGCTCTGGCTCCCAGGAGTCCAGAGTGAGGGAGCGCACTTTGGAAAAATGGACTCCCAGGCTCCTGTGAAGTGGAGGAAACCATTAAAGCTACGGTTTCATGCTGAGTGTGTGTGTGTGTGTAGAAGTGTGTGTGAATGTACCTGTGTATTCCTGAGCAGACGATACAAAGCGTGATGCCCAGGTTGATGGAGGCCCAATCGGGACCAGGCTCCCCACAGTCGCTGCACTGCTTGTTCCCCGGGATGGCCTGGACCTCCTCCAAGGCCTTGCAGCCCTTGTTCTCCTGATCCGCTCCTCCCCCTCCTCCTCCCAAACTATTCGCCGTCACCGAGCTGCAGCGCTGTCTCTGATAACCACACACACACACACAAATACAGGAATGAGGAGACGAACAAAGGCACAGAACTTCCTCTGTATCTCATCGGATTAAACTCCCACTGAAAAAAATGCAGGTATAGAAGATGATGTGTATGTGTGTGTGCGTGTGTGTGTGTGTGTGTCCTCACTGGGCTGTGTGGGTCCTCTCTGTGCTCCTGAAAGGCTGAGGCGATGCTGTTTTGGACGGCACTGATCCACCCCAGCTGCTGCCTTTCAGAGTCTGCCTGCAACAAACAACACCTACACACACGAGAAATTGATCCAAACAAATTCTCACACCCCCCCCCCCCCCCCTCCCCTCTTCTAGAATCTGCACACTTAACACTGATAACATTCACCACCATCGCTTAAATACATGTATGCATGAATGCACAAACATGTTTGCCCACGCATGCTCACTTTGATGGGGAGACCACTTCAAAGCAGAACCGCCTCTCGTTTTCGGTGCTGGGCTTCACTGTGCAGAGACGCAAGTCCTCCACCACAACTGTAGGCTGGTCCTGAGAGCCACGCAGACAGGAAAAACATGCAGGTCAGACGACGCATGTTATATACACACATACAGTGGGGCAAAAAAGTATTTAGTCAGCCACCAATTGTGCAAGTTCTCCCACTTAAAAAGATGAGAGAGGCCTGTAATTTTCATCATAGGTACACTTCAACTATGAGAGACAAAATGAGAAAAAAATAAAAATAAAAAAAAAAATCCAGAAAATCACATTGTAGGATTTTTAAAGAATTTATTTGCAAATTATGGTGGAAAATAAGTATTTGGTCAACAACAAAAGTTCATCTCAATACTTTGTTATATACCCTTTGTTGGCAATGACAGAGGTCAAACGTTTTCTGTAAGTCTTCACAAGCTTTTCACACACTGTTGCTGGTATTTTGGCCCATTCCTCCATGCAGATCTCCTGTAGAGCAGTGATGTTTTGGTGCTGTCGCTGGGCAACACGGACTTTCAACTCCCTCCACAGATTTTCTATGGGGTTGAGATCTGGAGACTGGCTAGGCCACTCCAGGACCTTGAAATGCTTCTTACGAAGCCACTCGTTCGTTGCCCGGGCGGTGTGTTTGGGATCATTGTCATGCTGAAAGACCCAGCCACGTTTCACCTTCAATGCCCTTGCTGATGGAAGGAGGTTTCCACTCAAAATCTCACGATACATGGCCCCATTCATTCTTTCCTTTACACGGATCAGTCGTCCTGGTCCCCTTGCAGAAAAACAGCCCCAAAGCATGATGTTTCCACCCCCATGCTTAACAGTAGGTATGGTGTTCTCTGGATGCAACTCGGCATTCTTTCTCCTCCAAACACAACGAGTTGAGTTTTTACCAAAAAGTTCTATTTTGGATTCATCTGACCATATGACATTCTCCCAATCCTCTTCTGGATCATCCAAATGCTCTCTAGCAAACTTCAGACGGGCCTGGACATGTACTGGCTTAAGCAGGGGGACACGTCTGGCACTGCAGGATTTGAGTCCCTGGCGGCGTAGTGCGTTACTGATGGTAGCCTTTGTTACTTTGGTCCCAGCTCTCTGCAGGTCATTCACTAGATCCCCCCGTGTGGTTCTGGGATTTTTGTTCACTGGTCTTGTGATCATTTTGACCCCACGGGGTGAGATCTTGCGTGGAGCCCCAGATGGAGGGAGACTATCAGTGGTCTTGTATGTCTTCCATTTTCTAATAATTGCTCCCACAGTTGATTTCTTCACACCAAGCTGCTTACCTATTGCAGATTCAGTCTTCCCAGCCTGGTGCAGGTCTACAATTTTGTTTCTGGTGTCCTTTGACAGCTCTTTGGTCTTGGCCATAGTGGAGTTTGGAGTGTGACTGTTTGAGGTTGTGGACAGGTGTCTTTTATACTGATAACGAGTTCAAACAGTTGCCATTAATACAGGTAACGAGTGGAGGACAGAGGAGCCTCTTAAAGAAGAAGTTACAGGTCTGTGAGAGCCAGAAATCTTGCTTGTTTGTAGGTGACCAAATACTTATTTTACCGAGGAATTTACCAATTAATTCATTAAAAATCCTACATGGGATTTCCTGGATTCTTTTCCCCCATTCTGTCTCTCATAGTTGAAGTGTACCTATGATGAAAATTACAGGCCTCTCTCATCTTTTTAAGTGGGAGAACTTGCACAATTGGTGGCTGACTAAATATTTTTTTGCCCCACTGTATGCGTGTTCTTTGTTTGGCTGTTCAAGCCTTTTTTTGTATATATAAATAGTGACATTTATCTAAAATATACCTTGAATTTCTTCTGGTACACCAGCTGATTTTTCTGAATTGAAAACCAACGCCTGGAGAGAGAATATGAAATGGTCAAAGAGTCAAGGATTAAGCCTTTCACACTCACACACACACACACACACACACACACACACACACACACACACACAC